AAACTGTGAAAGAAAGTAGTTCAGGTGGTGTGGGATACTCCTTGAATTGGAAGGTTTTTAAGCAAAGGTTTGATGGCCATCTGTCATGAACTCTTTTGTTGAATATCCTTCATTGCAGGGGGTTGGAGAAGATGACTCTCACCATCCAATCCAATGCAACAATCCAATGATTCCTGGGGAATCTGATTCTCCCCGCTGTGAGTTCTTTGATGGGAAGTGAGAAAGGACTCCTGACTAAAACACTCTCCGCATTCCAAGCATTTATACGGTCTCTCCATTGTATGAATTATTTGATGGGAAATGAGATGGGAGTCCTGACTAAAACTCCTTCCACATTCCAAGCATTTATGTGGACTCTCCCAGCTATGAGTTCTTTCATGGGAAGTGAGACTTCCCTTGTGACTGAATCTCATTCCACACTCCAAGCACTGAAACGGTTTCTCCCCTGTATGGGTTCTTTGATGGGAAAGTGAAGATTATATTTCCAGTGAAAGCTCTTTCCACATTCCAAGCAATGATAAGGATTCTCCCCTGTGTGAATTATTTGGTGGGAAGTGAGCTTGGCCTTTCCTTGAAGCTCTTTCCACATTCCAAGCACTGATAGGGTTTCTCCCCTGTATGAATTCTCTGATGGGTAGTGAGATTGGCCCTGCTGACTGAAGCTCTTTCCGCATTGCACACACTTGTATGGCTTCTCCCCTGTATGAATTCTCTCATGGACAGTGAGGTGAGCCCTCCAACCAAAGCTTTTTCCACATTCCAAGCACTGGTAGGGTTTCTTCCCATTGGGATTCTTCTGATGGGAAGTTGAATGGGAGCTTTGACTGAGCTCTTTGCACACTCCAATTTTTATATGGTTTCTCCCCTGTGTGAATTTCATCATGGTCTCCCTTATTCTTCATTTCCAATTCATCACCACCTGCAGGGAAAAGAGAAATGGGTTAGAGCCTCAGCAAGAAATTGAGCCCCCAATTATTGAACAATGCTCATTAATGCTTGTGAGAGAGGAAGAACAGAAAGGAGATAGATGAGATCTTACTCCAGGGTTCACTGGCTTTGTTTACTGGCAATTCAGGGATATGGGTACCTGAGATTCCAAAAGCCTAGCTCTTTTCTGGAATGGATTTTGTCTGGGCAAACACCACCTAGCAGAATGAGGAACAGCTGGGTATTGTCTTGCTATACAGCTGGATAGCCCTCCATTCAGGTGAGCTGTGGGGTGTGAGAATCCCAGGTGCTGTAGGTGGCGCTGTTCACCCCCATCAAAATCTGGGATGTTCCTCACATGGATAGATTTGTACGGAATTTCAAAAAAGATATTAAGATCCAACAGGGAGCCTTACCCAAGAGCAGCCATGATCCCACAATTCTCCTTGATGCAGAGCTCTCTGGTCAGGACCCAGCAACACCCACTCTTCACCTGGGAAAGGAACAGCGACGTCTTCAAAGGACAGTGAACTCTTTAAAAGAGAGAGAAAAAGGTCCTCCTCTTAGCCAATGATTATATTACCACAAATTATTTTGCTCTTTCCTTCCTGTTCCTGCTGTGCTGTTTTAATGGATGCTTCTTTTAACGTCTTAATGGAATTATTTTATTTTGTGTTTTGTTCTGTGCATTGTTCTGTGTAGGTGGAGGACTCACCCAATGCCCCAAAACAACGTCAAGGGGCAGTTTTGACAGAAGCCAAGAGGAAGAGGCGAGAAATTCCTGGGACTCCAGAGGAACCCTGACTGCCCACCCCTCCGCCTCTTTCCCCACAAGGCTGCTTTCCCCTACCTGAGCTGCTTCCACAGTCACTGCTTCCACCACCAAGAAAAGATGGATGAGGAGGTCTTGCCAGCAACCTTATATCACCTGCAAGAGACAAAGGTAAGTGGGAAGCCAGTGTAGTGTCAGCATAAAGGGAAATAATAGCAGCATTCTATACTGCTTGGTCAGACCACACACGGAATACTTTAGACATACATGGACAACAATTTCGGAAGGATGTTGACAAGCTGGAACATGTGCAGAGGAGGGTAGCCAAGATGATCAAGGGGTCTGGAAGCCAAGCCATATGAGGGAAAAGAGGAACCTGAGAGGAGGGGAATTGGCTCGTGGCTTCAAGGAGCTTCTGTCTAAGTATCTGAGGGTAAGGGGTGTTCAACAATGGAAGAGCCTCCCTGCGAAGGCTGGTGGACTCTCCTTCCATGGAGAGTTTTAAAGCGTCATGGATGCTTTAGTGACGATTCTTGCAATGCAGGGAGGTGGACTAGATGACTGCCAGGGTCCCTTCCCACTCTACAATTCTGTGATTCTATGAAAGTCTCATTTGCTGAGTGCCCTCTGATTTGGGTTGTGTTGGGCTGTCGTGGATGGGGTGGCGCTGTAGTCTAAACCACAGAGCCTCTTGAGCTTGCCGACTGTAAGGTCGGAGGTTCGAATCTGCGTGACAGGCTGAGCTCCCATTGCTCTGTCCCAGCTCCTGCCAACCTAGCAGGGTTGAAAGCAAGTAGATAAATAGATACCACTGCAGCAGGAAGGGAAATGGCATTTCCATGCGCTCTGGCGCTCATCACGGTGTCCTGTGGCGCCAGAAAGCGGTCTAGTCCTGCTGGCCACCTGACCCTGAATCCTGCCTGGACCAACGCCGGCTCCCTCAGGCTGAAATCAGCGCTGAGAGCCACACCTCAAAGTTGAATTTGACTGGACTTAACCGTCCAGGGGTCCTTTACCCCACCTGTACCTCACCTTGTCCGGCTCCTTCATGCAGAATTTGTGGGTGCCCCAAGGAGTTGGCACAATAAGGAACATCTTTTCATACCTGCGGCGAACTCACTTCCCGCTCTGGTTTTCAGAAAAGAAGGGGCCAGGACCCTCTGCTCCCTCACTTGGGGGTCCCACGCTGCATGGATAGGGAAGACCCCCAATGCACCCTCCCCTTCTCCCCAATTCACCCTCTGGGGAAGGGAGAGGGAGGCTCACCAGATCCCAGAGGAGAGCGGGCAGATCCCTTCCTCTCCAGCAAGGCAGGCTCTGCGGAGGGAGGGGCTCGGGAGGACCAGCCTGCTTCCCCTTCTTTTCCTGTCCGCTCTAGGAAGGCAGCTCCGCTCCTCTTAACCCTTGGCCTGCCGTGCACCCCTTCTCTCCCTCTCCAAAGCAGGGGGATTTGGGGGCCCTCTTGGCTGGCGAGCTGAGCTGCTCCCTCCCTTGGAAACAGCAGCTGGAGGGGCAGCTGGAAGGGGGACTCCCAGGGTCATCCCGTCAGCCTCCCCCACCCAGGAAATGGAGGAGAAGAACCAGAGACCCAGGAGATGGGGCGAAGGGGGTGGGGCTGGGAGACAGCAGGGGCTCCAACTCCTCTCCCAGCCCTGCCCTCTCCTCTGAGGAGTCGCCCCAGCAGAGCAGGAGGGCCAGACAGGCAGAGCTGGCACCAGACTCTGGGCCCTGCGCCTCTTAGGGGCCCCGCGACAACGGATCAACAGAATATTAATTGGGTTTGTTGGAATTGCTGGTTGGTAAAATCAGAAAGTGATTCAGAGGTCATTTGCAAGGGGACCCAGAGATTTCAACGGCCAGGGGGCCTCCACAGGGTTTAATGGGGTCATAGTCCCCAGGCGACAGGGGCCCCCTCTGCATGCCCACCCCCAGCAGGGCAAAGGGCCCCAGCTCCCTCGGAAGGGGGACAGGAAGAACCTGGGTGTCTCCTGCCAGGACAGACCCTGGGGGTCCCTCCAGCTGCTCCAGGTTTCCAGCCGTGACCCTCCAGGGTTCAAGACGGGGAATGTTCCCAGCCTGAGATGCTCACAAGGGAGATTGAGCCTGGCCCTTCTGCATGCCAAGCAGGTGTCCTGCTCCTGAGCTATGGTGGCCCTTCCCAGAGTACTCAAGGGGCAGAGCTGTGAGCTGGGTCCTGACTGGGTATTTCACCAAACAGCCCCTTCATTCCAGCTGCCACCCCAGAGTATTTTATATTTTCCTTTATGATTATGACCTTATTTTCATTTATTAAAATTCATATACTGGCCTTCCTTTGAAGATATCAGGGCATTACGCAGCATTAACATTCAAATAAAAACACCAATTACATAATAAAACCAAAAATGAAACACACCAATATTTCCGTCTCCCACAAAGACACTTAAAATGATAAAGTTTAATTAGCCAGAGGCCTGATGGTTATGTTGTGCTTACTTAAATACCCTTCCAAACTCTCAGCCAATCAACAGCCCCTCCCCAGATAACATTACCTTAAATCTATTATAATATTGAACTTGACTTACTATTATTACATAATTACTTTGTTAGAGGAGTACACAGCTTTAAATACAAACACCAGCATATGGCACCCAAATTTTAGGCAGACACAAATGCATGAAACAATTTCTAAGAGTCTCATAGGAAGCCAGTGTAGTATAGTGCCAGAGTATTTGACAACACCCTGGGAGACCTGGGTTCAAATCCCTCCTTGGCCATGTAGCTCACTGGACAGCCTTGGGGAGCCTAACCTACCTCACAACTTATTCTCATGATCAAAAAGGAAGTGAAGAACCATGTGACCCACAAGAACAGAAGAAGAAAGGAGATTCTGACTAAACATCAAGAAGATGCATTGCAGTTCGTTAGACTAGATGACCCTCAAGATTCCTCCCAAAGCTACTATTCTATAATTCCAGGATTTCCCCCGCTGTGAGTTATTTCATGGGAAGTGAGATTTCCTTCCAGCTCTTCCCACATTCCAAGCACTGATATGGTTCTCCCTGTGTGAATTCTTTGATGGGAAGTGAGAGTTTGCTTGAAGGTGAATCTCTTTCCACACTCTGGCATTGAAATGGTTTCTCTCCAGTGTGAATTCTCCTATGTCGCCATAAGTTTTTTGTTGAAGCAAAACACTTCTCACATTCCCAAGCACTGATATGGCTTCTCCCCTGTATGAATTCTTAGATGGGAAGTAAGACTAATTTTCCAAACTGAAGCACTTCCCACATTCCAAGCACTGGTATGGTTTCTCCCCTGTATGAATTCTTTGATGGGAAGTGAAACTATCCTTCCTGGAGAAGCTCTTCCCACATTCCACGCACTGGTATGGCTTCTCCTTTGTATGAATTCTCTGATGGGAAGTGAGATTGTCCTTCCTGGAGAAGCTCTTTCCACACTCAAAGCAGTGATAGGGCTTCTCCCCCGTATGAATTCTTTGATGGGAAGTAAGACTAGTCTTCCCACTGAAGCTCTTTCCACACTCAAAGCAGTGATAGGGCTTCTCCCCGTATGAATTCTTTGATGGGCTTTGAGATGTGAGATGTCACTGAAGCTATTCCCACACTCCAAGCACTGATATGGTTTCTCCCCACTGTGAATTCTCTTGTGTCGATGTAAATCTTTTCCTGTAATAAAGAACTTCTCACATTCCAAGCACTGGTATGGTTTCTCCCCTGTATGATATCTTTGATGGGAAGTGAGATGGTCCTTCCTGGAGAAGCTCTTTCCGCACTCCAAACATTGATATGGTTTCTCCCCTGTATGAATTCTTAGATGGCAAGTAAGACTAATCTTCCGACTGAAGCTATTCCCACACTCCAAGCACTGGTATGGTTTCTCCCCTGTATGAACTCTCTGATGGGAAGTGAGATTCTCCTTCCTGGAGAAGCTCTTTCCACATTCCACGCACTGATATGGTTTCTCTACGCTATGAATACTCCAATGTCGACGGAAGTATCTGCTTGTAGTAAAGAACTTTCCACATTCCAAACACTGATATGGTTTCTCCCCGGAATGAATTCTTTGATGGGCTTTGAGGTGTGAGCTGTGATTGAAGCTCTTTCCACATTCCAAGCACTGAAAGGGTTTCTTCCCAATAGGATTTCTTTGATGGGAAGTGGCATGGGAGCTCTGACTGAAGTTCTCCCACACTCCAAATCTTGATATGGCTTATCACTGTGTGGATTTTGTCCTGTTTGTCCCTTATTCTTAATTTCTAATTCATCACCATCTGCAACAAAGAGAGGAACAGATCAGAGCCCAAGAAAGAAATGAGTTCCCAGTTTTTGATAACGCTCATGAACATTTGTGATAAAGGAAGATCTGAAGGGCGTTAGATGGAAGTCTTACTGCAGAATTAACTGCCTTTGCTGACTACATTTACTGTCATTTATGGGAAATTCATATTCAAAAAGCCTGTTCTTTTCAGGGGTGAAATTTCTTTGGCTCAATCATTGAACCAACTCCATCTGCAAGGTCAGAACTCTATTTGAATGTGAATTGGATTCTCTGGTCTACCAATTACCTAGCGTTCCAGGGGAGAATTAAATTGCTGTGTAATGACAGAATTCTAAATGGGTTGGAAAATAGATCAACAAGCTCTAAACTAACTATGGTGATTTCAAAAAGATTAAGCGACGTCCACTTCCCTAGACACTCAGAAAGCCTATCCACACCCTGATCCTTGTGCAAAAAGGCAGAAGGGGAGGAACCATATTCACAGACAAAAACAGTCCATAGCCCTCCATGCAAGGGTGAGCTGTGGGGTGTGAGAATCCCTGGCACTCTAGACTTCCGGGTTGGCGCCATCGATTAATGGCGGATTCCTCCGAGCTCCGGAGGGAATCGGCTCTGCAGAGACTGGGTCTTGCCGCGACGGCGACGCGGGGACCCTTAAAATCACAGGCGCAGAAGCCTGTGAGCGTAGTGACTCGGCAGGCACCATTTGCGCCCCCCCCAATCCATGAAGGAGCCTTTTAAAGGCTTCGGAACGGGGACGGGGTGCGGCACTGTGCTGAGAGTACTCCTTCATCTGCAGAGTGAAGCCGCAAGCCATTATCGGAGAGCGCTGACTTTCTCTTGGAACATTCAGACTCTAAAACACCAACCCGTGAGTAATACGGAAACTGGAATTTAAATAAAAATTTGGTGGATCCGGAACGAGCGGGAAGGGTTAAAAAGGAAGTCCACCCCCCCTTGTAAACAATTTAAAGCAAAGGACCTGCTAGCTAAGGTCAAGAGAATCTTTTCTTTCTTTTTAGTAAAAAGACTTTAATTTCACGGTTTTGACATCATAAGAATTTTTGCTGGAGGATAATAAGATTAATTTTGGGAGCTGAAGTTTCACCCCCCGGACCCGGGAGTGTCCCGCGAGAGAGCCTGTTGATGAAAGACTGAAAAGTTTGACAGCTGTCAAGTTAGCTGTCAAGACGGAAAAAGAGAACCTTGTTTCTGTTGCTTCTGTTGGTTAATTTGTAATAATCTGTTGAAAATAAGGAAGGGCTGATACAAAATAACCTGACTTTTGGACTTGAGCTGAAAGGAATATTAAGGAACTAAAATCCCCTAGAGGGGTTTAGTGACATTACAGGAATGGCTGGAGGAAGGAAAATCCAGGCTGAATTGGACAGAGCATTTGTTCTCTTGGGAAAGTTACAAGGCCAATCTGATGTTTTGGCTACAAATGTTACAACTCTGGACTTAGCAGTAAAGAACATTGTTGAATCTGATAAGGACTTGAAACAAGGAGCCTATCCAACTGAACAAATAAGAGAAAGCGGAGAGCTTTGACAATATGGAGCAGGTGACAGATGTTGCTCCTGAAGAAAAGGAAGAGGAGCTGAAACTTTGGCAGAAGTTAAAGGAGAGTTGCATTTTGAGGCCTGACATGATGACAAAAAGGAAAATAAAATTCTGATGTGGAGAGCCTGGCCTGAATTGGAGGTGGAAGTTGGAGCTCTGGGGACATTTGGACCTGAAAGGAGTATAAAACAAGATTTGAAGTACCCCCTAGGCTTTACTTTTAAATATGGAGGTCTGGCTGGTAGAACATGGATCCTGTTGGGCCGGAGCTTCTTCGAGATTTGGAGTTTAACATTAAGGACTATCAAAAAGACCGGCAGAGAGGAACTGAGGAGAGAATTGAAGAGCCTCGGACGTGAGATCTCCAGGCTAAACAGTATATTGAGACTGATGGATTTTTGTTGAGGACTAAAACCGGGAAAAGGGTGGTGGAGTTTGGGAATCCAAAGGGTATATAAATATAGTTTGTTTTTGTTTTAACTTTGCTTTGCTATTAGTATGGAAATTGGGAAAGTCGTGGAGGGAAATTTTGGTCAACTTTAGCAAAATGTTTAAGAAAAAATAATGAGGTATAAATATTGATGTGTAAATTTGGAGAAGTTAAAATTGGTTTTTAAAATGGTCTAAATTAAATGAAATTAAGGTTTGTAAATATAAATTGAGGAAATGGAAGAAAGAAGAAAAGTAAAATAATAACACGTTAGAATAAATTAAATTAAGTTAAAATGGAGAAGTAAGTCAAGGATTTGCTGAGCTAATAATTTAAATTGGAATACAACAAAGGGAGGCGTGAGGAGGTCTGAGAAACAAGTTAAAAGAAAATAAGTATTTTGAACTTTCAGGTGTTTTTAATTGTTTTTAAGTTTTGGTTTTTTGTATTTTTGTATTTTTGTTTTTGTATGTTTTTTTCCTTTTTTTGAAAAATGCTAATAAATATTCATTTTTTTAAAAAAAGAGAATCCCTGGCACTCTAAGTGGCAACGTTGGGATCCATCCAAATATGGGAGGTTTGTCCCAGAGAAATATCTACTGAATTCCAAAACAGAGATGATGACCCAACAGGGAACTTTACCCAGAGAGATCATGGTCCTCCAAGTCTCCTCCATGACTTCCTTATGCAGAGCTCTCTGGGCAGGATCCAGCAACGCCCACTCCTCAGCCGTGAACAAAACAGCGACATCTTCAAAAGAAAACTGAGCTCCTGAAATAAAATATCCTTCTCTTAGGCAAGCATAAAGATTATTTCCTGCACCGTTGCTTTTTGCTTCCTGCCTGGGTGTTTTTAATTGGATTGGTCTGTTGCACATTTGGATACTGGTGGCTTATTTTAATGAACTCCATGTTGTTTTATTCAGATCAATATGTCTATGCAAGCATTCCAGTTTGCGCCAAATGGAAGAATCCCTCTCTCCTCTCCCTGTGGTGTTGTTTCTGGGATGGAAAGACTCCCCAGATGTCTCAAAGAGAATTTATAACGAATAATACTACGCCGACATTCAGAGTTAAGGTGAAGGGGCTTACTCGGCGAGCATAAAACCTTCATTAATGGCATTTCAAGCCTTTGTTAAGGGCAGCTTGACAGAAGCCAATGAGGAGGGGAGAGATTTTGTTCCGTCTCAGAAATTGCGGCTCTGTCCCTCACCCTCAGCCCCTTTCCCCCCATGGCTCCTTCCGCACCTGATCCGTTCCTCAGCCGCTGCTTCCCCTCCACCAGGATGAAGAGATGGAGGAGGAGGTCTTGCCGGCATCCTTCTTTCACCTGCGAGAGACAAAGGGAAGTGGGGAGACAGGAGTGCAGGATGCTTCTCTCAGAGCTGAAGCAGTGCATCTCTAACTACAGATTAAGAAATACTCCCCTGTACCTATTTCATATTTAATTGTGCAAAATTATATATCAGGCTCCTCTGGGCTCAGGGCCTCAAGTGTCTTCCCCAAAAAGATCAAAAGAACCACCAGATTATTTTCAACACCAACAGAATGGGACCAAACTGAGAAAATACTCCTTCCTTCTTACCCAGTGGCTTATCTCTGGTGTCCAACAGAGACTTCTCTACTTCAGAGAAATCAGGACCCATTTCAGCAAACGGATCCTTTCCCTGAAACAGCAACAAGGATTCAAAACAGAGATGGGGAAAAGAATCAGAATAGGAATGGCAGAGGCAAAAATTTTAGCAGCATCTGGTAGCCTTCCGAAAAAGGATGGGATTTAGGGATCTTCTCCCTCCTTGGAGCCCCTTGGGAGCATCCAGAGGAAAGTCTCTCTCACCTGCTTCCTCTCCTCTGCCTGACTCAGGAGGAAACCTTCGGCCAGGGCCACTGCCAGGGAACTGGTCTCCGCTCCGCATTCCCTCACCCAGCTCTCCATCTCCGCTGGAAGGACAGCCAGGAACTGCTCCAAGATCACCAGGTCCAGCATCTCAGCTTTCATGTGCCTTTCTGGCTTCAGCCACTGGTGGCAAAGGTGGTGGAGTCGGCTGCAAACCTCACGGGGTCCTTTGGCCTCCTGGGAGAAGAACCACCTGAACTGCCGGCTCTGCGCCTCTGAGCAAAGGGTGTCCTCCTCTCCCAGGAGCTTCTGCACTGAGTTTTCCCATAATCCCCCACTGCTCCCAGTTTCCATAGCATGGCCTCTTCCTGCTCCAGGGCCAGCTGAGTCTTGCTCATCCATCTTTAGGAGGGAATCCAGTTTTTCCTTGGCCAAGTTCTGCCTGTCTGATTTAGAGGTGCTGCCAAATACTGCAAAGGAAATATTTTGTTCTGTTATGAAATTGGCACACGGTCAGGAGAATAGAAAGGTTCTCTGAGCAAGTGTGGATGAGTCTTGCTAGGAACCAGGGCTGGACTGCACCCTGGGCCAGACTTTGAGCTTTCTGTAAGAAAAAAGGGAAGAATGTAGAAGAAGAAATTCTCTCGCCCTCCTAGGGGGAAAGTGACCAGGCCAAAAGTGGAGGAAACGGAAGCGGTTTCTGTGAGATGAATCAGCCCGATGGGCACCAGGAGCTTCTCCTCCTCCCTGCACTGGACTAGATGACCCTTGGGCTCCCTTCCAGCTCTACGATTCCATGTCCCTATGATTCTCACAGGGGCCACCCAGGGGCCTCAATGGGAAGCCCCCCAGCCGGACTGGGGCGCAAGAGCCCCCCCCTCTCCCCCTGCGCTTCCTTCCAGCAACTGGGATTCAGCAGCATCTCTGGGGAGACGAGAGCTCAGCCCTCCTGCATGAAGCCACCCGGAGCCTCTCCTCCTCCTCCCTGCCCTGGTCCCAGCCTGGCCTCCTGGGGCAGGGAGTTCCACAGGCTTGATTCTGCACGGCACCAAGAAGCGCTTTCTCTTCTCTGCCCCTCTTCCAACAGTCTCAATTGATTGCATGGCTCACGCTCCCCTATTATTATTTGCATCTATTTTCCGTACAGATCTTTCTTTCCCACTACGACGTCTTGATTCCTGGGTCTGAAGGGGGCTTCTTTGCAGGCCCTTTTCTTCCCTCTACGAAGGGATCGAAAGGAAGATAATACTTGCAGAGCTCCTGTGCCCTCGCCCCCACCCGGGCTTTGCAGAGAGGTGGGGCAGGAGCCCCTGCCCCTTGACTTGGGGGTCCCCCCGCTCCCCCCTGCATCCCGGGGACCCCCCTCTTCTCCCCAATGCAGAGACTCACCGGCTCCCCGGAGGCGCCCTGGAGGCAGCACGTGCAGAAGAGAGAGACAAAGGCCCCTCCTCCTTTTGAGGCAGGGCGGAGAGGGAGGGGCTTGGGCTGGGGAGTTTCTCCCCCCCAACACCCCCCCCCAACGCCTTTATTTTCTCTCCCCTCTAGGAATCCCGCTCAATCCCTTTTAACCCTTGGCAAGCCAGTTCTCCCTCTCCCTCTGGTGTCCAGTGCCGGGAGTTCCGCAGGTGAACTCTGCCTTGCGTGAAGAAGAGCTTAATGTTATCTGTCCTGAATCTTCCGACTCCTTGGATGTCTTTGAGTTCCACTGTCAGGAGATGCAACTCTCCACCCACTTTCTCTAGGCCAGGCTTGGCTTTTAAAGGAAGGTCCACTTAAGGACTTTCTTAATTTCATTATAGATCATTTCCCAAAAGGCTTTAATCTTCGGGCAGGTCCACCAAAGGTGGTAAAAGGTACCTTCAGTCTCATTACATTTCCAACATTTATTATTGGGCAAATGATAAAATTTTTGCAAGCTTGACTGGGGTCATGTACACTATAAATCATTTTCATTATGTTTTCTTTTAAGGCATTACATGCCGTAAATTTAACACCAGTGGTCCATAACTGTTCCCAGTCAGCAAACATAATGTCATGAACCGATATCTTGTGCCCATTTAATCATAGCTGATTTACCGTTTCATCCTGTGTATTCCATTTCAACAGCAAGTTATACATTCTTGACAAGTTCTTAGTATCGGGTTCTAACAATTCTGTTTCTAATTTTGACCTCTCCTTCTGAAATCCTATTTTCCTGTCCTGTTTAAATGTCTCATTTACTGATGGTAATGCAACCAATCTCGGACTTTGGACTTTAATTTCTCATAACTCTGAAGTTTAACCTTTTCACATCTTGTTCTAAAATTTCACAGTATTTTGGCCATTTAGAGTCCATGTTAAGTTTTTTCACCTCCTTAGCTTCCATTGGTGACAACCACCTGGGAGTTTTACTTTCCCCAGAGGTCTGTTCTTAACCTGAAACTGTTCTTAACCTGAGGTACCACTTTAGCTAATGGGGCCTCCTGCTGCCCTGCACCACAGGAGCACGATTTCTGTTCTCATCCTGAAGCAAAGTTATTAACCAAGGTAATATTTCTGGGTAAGCGGAGTCTGTAACCTGAAGCGTCTGTAACTCAAGGTACCACTGTATATGCATGTTATTCCTGCCTACGTGCAGAACCTGATATTTATCCCTACTGAAATTCATTTATTGCATTCAAATACACCTCCCCCAAGGTCTTCCCCTCTTCCCCCCCCCTTCCCCAGGGTTTCACAATAACCTGTGAGCTTGGTCAGGATTTGAAGCAGTGCCTGGCCCCCAAGGACACCTGGTGAGCATCAGGGCCAAGTAGGAATTTGAACCCAGGTCTGCCAAGTCATACCTCTGACACTCTAACCACTATACCACCCTAGCTCTGTCATGAGACTCTCAGAAATTGTGCATGTGTGCACTTTCTTCACGTTTAGGCACAGGTCCTTGTACTTAAAAGTTCTGTACCCATGTATCAAACAATAATAATAATAGTGCATTTAAGGTACGTTAGCTAGGGGGCAGAAAGGGTGAGTAACCATCTACAGTGGTACCTTGGTTCTCAAACTTTATCCGCTCTGGAAGTCCATTCCCAAACCAAAGCATTCCAAACCAAGATGCGCTTTTCCATAGAAAGTAATGCAAAATGGATTAATCTGTTGCAGACTTTAAAAACAAAACAAACGCCAAATCAGCAATTTAACATGAATTTTCCTACTAGCGAGACCATTGATCCATAAAATGAAAGCAATAAATCATGTACTGCAGTCACACAATCAATCAGTAATGAACTGGGTTCCACACAGTCACACACACAAA